GTATCTTGCATACATGTATGTCGGATATAATTCAATGTAGAGCGTGGTATTAGCCGGAGAAGTAGTTGTTTTCCAGCAGGCATTTACCAGAACCTACGGCGCAGGTACTTTGGGCGAGATTAATGTTTCAAGATTTCATTTGGAAATATTCATTTTTTCATATTCATGTCATTCACTACTATTTATAGTATTTTATATTTGAAATATTTTTGGTGTCTTTCTCATATCAGCTAAACTCAATTAGTGATAACTGATAGCCATATCGATAATGATGTGATAATAACCTTACCTAACTTTTTCTTCAAAAACTTTTTGACAATGAAAATCAATGGGAGTGTTTATATACCACACTCTAAAGTAAAAGTGTGGTGTATGAAAGCTTCCATTGATATACATTGTGACAACTTCCTTAAAGTGAAAATAAAAAAGTATGAACCAAGTAATACAAAAGTGAAGGTTGTTAACAAGTAGATGTTTTTCACTTTCCAAATAAAACTAGTTTTACAAATCGTTTCATAACCCTTCCCTTATCCAATTCATCACTTTATGCCACTACCTGCTCACCAGGTATATTCACTGTTATGGTTACTATACTTTATATCAAATAATTACTATCACTACTTCACTATTTTCAGTTTTTGACGCCCGACCTGTCAAATAATACCGCATCTTTCGAGATACGTATCTTCTGGACCATTCTGGAAAGAATTCAAAGTGAGGTTGACCAGAGATGGGGTCTGGATTTTATATTAAATCATAACATTTGTTATATCATATTGAAAGTCGCCCATGCAATGTTTTTTGGGTGTTAAAATAGTCGAGATATGTGACATTGCCAAAATGTTTAGAAACGATTTAGAATACCCTTAAAAGGAAAAACGAATAAAGAAGTTTTGGGCTGAAACCCGTTATCAGAAACAAACAAAAGTTCAGTATTTCACTCATTTTTCAAGGTAACAATTTGCCTGCTGTGACATATTCAAGTGACCAGAGACCTCTCTACAATCTGTGGGAACAATGACAGCAATCATGACGGTCCCCCTTTACTGCTGATTTGAAAAACGATTGTTTAATGACCACATAAGTGAAATCATAACTGATATACAGTCCATTTCTTTAATGCCCCCCTTTTATTTTTTTGAACGGATCAACTCAAAAAATTGAAATTTGGGATAATGGAATTAATGCATGAATACTTTATTTTGAAGTGAAATTGACAGATGAAACTTTCAAGATGGTGACTAGGCGCCATCTGGGAAAAAAATTGAATGGAAAGGGGGGTCTTGTGACATCATTTGGAAGTTCCTGATATTTCACAACCTTAGAATATGAAGTCAATAATAAACCAAATTGAAGCTGTACAAAACACTTTTCTGAGGATCTGTGCATACAAATTAGGTCTAAGAAGGGGAGAATATGCACACAACATTAGAGATCAGATGAGTCTATTATCTTTAAAGAATAGAAGAATTATTTTAGATGTATGTTTTTTAAGCAAAATTTCAACTGGAAACATCAACTGTGAGAAGATTTTATCTTTAATTAATTTGAATGTCAACAGACAGACCAGAGCCAGTACCGAAACATTTAAAATACCGTTCTACTCCACAAATTATGGTTTTTTCTCTCCTGTCACTCGAATGCTCAGAAATGGAAATATGTATCAACAGGTTTGATATCTTTAGCAGCTCCACAAATACCATCAAAATTGAACTGAGTCACATTATTTGCTGAAACATTTCCTTTGAATTTTCTATACTATTTCATCATTATATTGCTTTCTTTTTATACTATATATCATATTATTATTATTGCAATATGTATTTATTATCTTTAGTTCAGTTTGAGATTTTACAAACTTTTTTTTTTAATTTTTTTCCATGACAAAATTGTAATGTGATTTTATCACTATATTATTGTATTGCTTTTTTTATATTCTATTATGTATTTATTGAATTTGTTATCTTTAATTTAGTTAAGATTTTACAAATTGTAATTGGGACTACCCGTTGAATAAATAAATAAATGAATAAATAAATATCTTCACCTACTACAAAATGGCGGAACATTTGATAATTTCCTGAAGACAAACACATTAAGATCGATATTTCTAGAAATATTCCTTTTTATCTGGCATATGGCAATTCCAACAACCCGATAAGGTTTGTTGAGTTATTTTTGGTTTATAAAAACAACAAAAAAGTCAGTACAACAATCAACATCATTGTTCAGTTAGAATATTCCCATTTATATAAATATTACTGGAGTTTTTTCCCAAATCGCCATTTTCAACACCTCGACACGTGTTTCGATCACCAAGTGATCATCTCCAAGAGGAAGATTAAACGTGTCGAGGTGTTAAAAATAACGATTTGGTGTTGGGAAAAAACTCCAGTAATATTCATTACTACACCATAGGTTCCAAACAGTGCATCACAAGTAATCTCATTTAGTTTTCGGTTTTACTAGTAGAAAGGTACCACGTCAACAATCTCTAAAATGTCAATTCTCATCCATTGAAAAAAAAATTAAATCGATTTTTATTTACGGTGCGACACGTAACTTTCACGAGACCAAAAGGATTTTCGATTAACGTTTTCCGAATCTGTAGAAAATATTTGAGAGAACTTGTATCCAAATTCACAACTACCGGTAGTGTGCATAACGAAAAGTCTCCAAGTACAAGTATCTTCCATACAAAAATAAAATGGTACACCAATTAACTGAAGATGACCCTGATCGAAGAATAGAATTCTGCGAAATCGTGACAGAAACCATTGCAAGGCATTCTACCTATCTCCACAATATTTGTTTCAGTGACGAATATACATTTTTTTAAACGACAATGTTCACAGAGAAAATTGCCGTTATTGGAGTGACACCAACCCTCACGTTTTCCGGGAAACACATACCCAATATCAAAAAAAAATTAACGTTTGGGCAGAAATATTGGAAAACCCTATCGTAGGACCTCTATTGATCAAAATTCAACAAAAGAACTGTTTTTGAATATGCTGGAAACTACTATTGACCCTCTCATCATTGAAATCGTCGAAGCGAATCCTAATGAATTCGATATGGATATTGTATTACAACAATATCATTGATGTTGGGAACATTACAATGGCTGTCAATAGAAAATAGACTTATTTATTTAACTATGAGTTAATCTTCAAAATGTTGCATAATCTTCTTCCATCATATTTTCACAAATATATAACTATAAATACGCAAGTTCACCAGCATGATACGAGAAGTAAACATAACTTACATGTGACTAGGCAAACAAAAGCTTACAATATTAAAACTTTGGTGTTCAAGGGATTCATTGCTTACAACAGTTTGCCAGATGATATAAAGAAATCAGAAACTCTGCAACAGTTTAAAATAAAAATGATAAACCATTTACAGCAAAAGTAAAATCGTTGTATTGTATATCTATCAGGATTAATAATTTTTAGTTTCAATACGAGTATTAATATATGTATCTTCTTACGGGATATGAGTGTATAGTGGATAGTGGGATAGTATAACTTATTGGTTTCATATGTATGTTTGTATATGATTATTGTGGTATTTGGCTGTACGTGAATGGTATCAATATATGTATTTTCTTTCGGGCTATAAGTGTATATTGGGATAGCATTCTTATTGGTTCATATGTAGGATTGTATATGATTATTATGGTATTTGGCTATACTTGAATGGTTTTCTTTTAGCAAAACAATGGAAAATATAACTCGAAATGTAAATACATAGTGTGTACGTTTAAATTTAAAACAAAACAAATATATTAATACTATCGAAGGAGCTGCTAATTACTATATATAAGATTATACTTTGTGAATGTAGATTAGGATTACCTATTTCAAAAATAAAGATTATTATTATTATTATTATAACAAGATGGAGCACCACCACATTACTCCAGACAACTAAGAAACTTTTTGGATACTACTTTTCCCGGTCGTTGGATTGATCGTCGAGGTCCTACAGAATGGCCAGCCCGCTCGCCAGATTTGACACCTTCAGACTTTTTTGAGGCTTTTTGAAGCAAAAGGAGTACGAAACTGAACCTGCCTCAATATTGGATATATAGCAGAGAATAATAAATATTTGTAGAGATATTGACGTTACTGTGAAAATGTTCAGCGTGAAATATCGGATAGGCTGTTCATATGTCAAGAAGTTCAAGGCAACCTTTTCGAGCATCTTCTGAACTGACCTCAAGCTTATTAACTCATATTATGTATTTGAATGTCAATGTATTCAGGCAATTATTGAAAGTTCCGCCATTTTGTAGTAGTTGAAGATACTGACATTACATTCTAAGGCTATGAAGCATTTGTCAGGAGCTTCAAAAAAGATGTGTCGCAAGACCCCCCTTTCCATTTAATGTTTTTTTCCAGATGGCGCTCAGTCGCCATCTGTAAAACTGACCATTCCAACAATAAATTCCGCCAGCCGACTGCAGTTAAATCTGATTGGCCAGCGTAAGGAGACTTGTTTATTTTAACCAATTGTTGCAGATATGCGTGGTGATCATGAGTTGCTTTTTTTGTTGGGTGGATATAGTTTAGTTGAATTAATTAGCTACAATATACGACTAGCAGTGGCCAGACGACAAAACTATAAAGTAATCTCCAATGATTTCTAGTGAAAGGTTACAAAATTTTCATTTTGGAGACCTTTGGCTCGCTTCATGAATATAGAAATAAAGAGAACAAAATAAAGAATTTCCAGCAAGGTTGCTTGGATGATAGATACCTGTTAGAAATTAATAGTTTATTATTACTTATTATTATTTGTGATGCACTGTACAACGATTTGGTGTTTTGTATGCTGACATATGTTCCTATCAGGAAAGAACTGAACGTATACTTCTTAGAAAGGATGAAAATGAAATTTAAAAAATCCATTTTCTCAAGCATCAGCTCAAGATGATTTGTATCCGATGATAAGGATTTTATGGTGGAAATGGGAAATGGTCAAAACAGAGGTTCAATTGCACAATATCATATAATGTTCAGGCATAATATATATTAATATTCATACTCAATTCCAAAAATTTTACATCACTACTTTGAATTGTATTGCTATGGATTTAAAAAGTATTTCAAGCAAAATGCATGAGCCGCAGAAAATTTCAATTAAAAAAAATTAACATGTTATACTAGCATTTTGCTTCTGTGGAGAAGTTTCACAAAAAAATTAAATGTCAACCGAAAATATACAGTATGTACAAACTAAAACTCAATAATCAATAAAACATTATTTAAAAAAGTCCAATAGCCATAGCGGCACACCAAATAGAGTGCCGTCAAATTTAATAACTAACAATTATCAACAAAAAAATAAGGGATTACAACATTTTTTCAATTCATAACGATTTGGGCGAAACTTCAACTGATATAACTTCAACATAAATTTTTCAGTTACCTTGATGATTGTGACAGTTTTTGCGCTCGAATACTGAAAGATTCACTACAGAGACGGTAGCTGGTAATGTGAAATGTTATTTAGTACATTGCAGGTGCTTTGAAACTGAAACTATTGCACTTTCGATATGACAGAAGTGATAAATTGATTACACCAGAAACGAGAATATTTGGGAGAGAGGACAACGTTTACTCATACACTTAAAAAAATATCTTGAGAAAAAAACAAGAATGTGATTATTAATCAGTCTAAAAGTTGGTCGTTGGAGGAATTGATTTTGCGGAGACTTATTTTTTATTTTTCACTTTCATCGTTATTTATGCAGTTTCAAATCCTAACACAGAAATATCAATTTTTCTAGAATAGGTCAAAGGAGCCAACAATACAGGAAAATAATTACAGAAAAATGAAACTATACATTAGTGGTGATGTAAATCTTAGGTCAATCCGATTCCAATATAATCCAAGAGCTCCCGACAAATTTGGAGAAGGTAATAAACTGAGAGTTCCATTATATTTATCGCCTCACGGCACTGGCCAATCGTTTATTTCCAGTGAATTTCTCAACATTTAACTGACACGAGTGGTTGGGATCTTCACGAGTACAAAAACTCTTGAATTGTTCAAGATTTTCAGTAGACGCAACACGTGTTTCGCTATACAATAGCTATACTAACTAGGAAGGAATCAATCACGGAAGAACGAAATGGATAAAGACTCTTGAGGATCTAATCACTTTCATTCAACGTTGAGATATTCACTCAAAATACAAGATGATCAATAATCTCAGAAAGATGAATTATTTTGGAGAAGGTAGTCACCGAGACTTCAAAATAAAAATAAAATATTTAGATCTAACAGCATGCCATAACATATTTCTCTCATCAATTGAAGTATATTGTATTGAGCCTTTCGGCTCCAAAATTAGAAATATATGCGTCTTTTGTACTTTTTAAAATTTAAGATTTTTTCAAGGATTCATCTGTATGAAAATAATATTTTAAGCTTTTGCTACATTTAAGGTCTTTATTGCCTTTTAATGAAATAAAATCTAACCCATAATATAACACAGCAATGCAACAAAAACTTAAAATATATATTATTAATATACATACAAGTCATCTATTTAGTTTATTATAAATATATGATGAGCAGAAACAAAAAAACCACGTTAAAGTATTTATTTTTTCGATCTGAATTTTCTTAGAATATATTCTCCAAATTTGTCATTTGGTCTCAGACTAATAGTATCAAGATATGAACTGGTGATGATTTCAAAATGGTTGAAAATACCGCAATGATTTTTTAAACATTGAATTAGATACTGATATTCGTTTTTTCAATCTTCATCTAGTTACAAATTGTCCACACCTTGTACCTTACATATTTATGCCTGAAATAATGAGGACTAAAAAGTTTTGCCAACCTCATGACTTTCGAGAGCCATTACTGAAAATTAAAAATAACTCTCATTTGAAACTAACAAGATTTGTATTTGAAATGTATTCTTCTCATCTATTTACATTTGAGTTTTTCAATCGGTGTATAATCAATTTCAAAAGTTTGCCTTCAAAAAAATATTCAAAATTGCTAACAAATCAAAATCGTTTCTACATCAAATCAAGTTGTAAAGTTTTTTCAATATATTTTCTGAAAATAATTTCCTTACAACGTTCTGAAACTATGAAATGGAAATAAAAAACTTCGTGACAAAAATAAATATTATTTCAATACTGGTAAGATTCCATGTGATAAAAATACTCTAGTAACTGTTGTGTAACATTCAATACTTCGTGGTTCATTGCAATACAACCTATTGCAGAATAATTTATAACAACATTATCTACACTTTCCCTTTATTTCAGTTTTTTACCTCTATTAGTATTTCTGCATTTCTAAGGAATGTTGAACTCTAGGATTCGTCGCCGATTTGAGACATATTGAAGCAAAATGTTAGCTCGAATATTCAAATTGAAACATCTTCCGGTTGTCTTCCACAAAAATTAATTATAATTGACCATAATACTGTGAAGCTATCATCAGACCTAATATTATTCAAATGTAAGCCTAAATTTATTTGGCAGTGTTATACTGCAACATTAATAAAAAATAAGCCAGGACTCTTCTAGGTTCTACAACCCAATACTTCCACATACAAACTGGAAGAAAAAAACATTCCCGAAACTTGAACAGAAAATGGGCTTTTTCCAGTTTGTATCTGGAAGTAACTACTATGCATGATCTGCACATCTTTTAGAGTCCATTTTAAATCTTATGGTGAAGTAGAAAGCCAATGACCTTTCTTTCCCAAATACTGATCTGTCTTGTAAATATACCCCTTTTGTTTCAATCATAAGATGTCTATAAATTTTATGTATCTCACTTTTCTGGTACTTCGATACACATTTTTTATGAACTACAAACAGCATTTGCTCTAGTACACATGTATATTTGGATTGTTTCTTATTATATCTATCTATAGGGTTTCAAGTGATTTTTTTTGAGATTTTCATTAAACAGTTCACAAAACCGCAAGAAGTGTTTCACTGTACAATGAACACTGTCATCATAATAAAATAAAGATAGTAAAAGTTGATTAAAAAAATTAAATAAGGCGATATTGAAATAAGAAGAATATATCTAATGATTAGTAAAAAATTCTGATAGTGTATGATAAAAATTTTCTAACAGACATGTTTTCAGTGTTTGTTTTAAATTATACAATTGCTTTGAAGCCTCTACACATTCTGAAAGATTATTGTAAATTTTTAGACCAATGTAGTCTGGCCCAGAAAAAAGCCTCTTTTAATTTAGCAATTGGCACATGGAACTAGTTTTTGATTCTTGTATCGTTGTGATGAATGTGGAATTGTGGATTTTCATCAAGTATCGGCCAATTTCACCACATAAATATTTTTAATATAAATTCATGTAAACGCCCTGCGTTAAAATGATTGTGTTTCAAAAACGAAGTTATTCGGGATTGCTTACGAATTTTTTTGTGCATCAAAATTTAGAAGGTTGAATTTCCAGGTTATTGGTGTTCCCGATTTGGAGTCGATATACAAAGTGCCCGTTCACATGGAAAACCACGAAATAGCAAGTGACTAAGTGAGCAATTAAAACGCTCACTTAGATACTTCTATCCGGGGTTTCATATATTTCTCTATCGATAGTAAGGGAACATTTCCCTGACTACCGATATAGAATATATGGATAGATGTATTTAAGTGAGCATTCACTAACTTAACTACTTGGCTATTGCGTGATTTTTCATAAAGGGCACTTTGTATATCGATTCCAAATTGGGAACACAAATAACCTGGAAATTCAACCTACTAAATTTTGATGTACAAAAAAATTCATAAGGGAATATTTCCCCTACCAACGATAGAGAAATATATGAAACCATGGATAGATCTAGAAAAAATAATAACTCAATCAAAGTATGGAATAACGGTGGCTATCGTTGGAAAGTATAAAAAACTGGAAGATACCTATACATCCATTTTGAAAGCTTTGACCCATGCGAGAAATGAAGTTGGATGTAGAGTTAATATTAAATTAATGGACTCATCGAACTTAAACAACATATGCAACTGATGAAACCAGTAGTGTATCATAATGCATGGTACAACTTGAGTATTTCAGAGTAAGTTGATGTAGGTTGGTTGTCTTTTGACTAAACCAGAAAATTGTAATAGAATGTGCAAATTGTTAATAGCAATAAAAATCCAGTAGACGTTTAGTATGAAACAGTGCCCGTTTTACAAAATACCTAAAATGATTTCTAGAGCAGATACAAACTCGGAAATTGAATATCTTCAAAATTTATGCTTCGAAAATGGGCTATAATTTGGAGCAACATAATATTTTTGTATGTTGCTATGACTAGTAATATTATTATAAGTTATTGATTATTGGAAAAAAAATGTTTTGGCTTTTTACTTCTCCATCTTTATAAAAAAATTACACACTCTGATAACAAAAAAGTATATTTTACAAATATATTAGTATATAAAATATAATCGCTGTACTAATCAGCATTTAAAACTTTTATTGACGAGACTTCCGACCTTCATACTATATTCCAAACTGATGATTCGATTTTTTGAGCATCATTTTTTCAAAAGGGTACAGACAGAAATAAGATCAATTGGGAATAATCATCGACTTTTAAAAAGAGTGCATTTACTTACGTTATATTTGACTTCAAAGTAAGAAAATTTCAATCACTATAAAGTAGTAAATAACCCGATTTCAAATATTTTTTTAATATTGAAAAATTTCAGTTATGGTTTTATATACCTTGTTTTTAATCTATATTGAAATAACTTTTTTCATTAGAGTACATGAATGCTTTTATTAAAAAAATAGGTGTTGTTAGAATGAGTTGAAGGGCTACAAAGTACTTTTTTATAATCAACAGTTTGAACTACTGACAACCTAATTGACAGTTCAACTATCAATTGTGGTTGATTTCATTTAAAAACATACTTTTTGGCGCTTCAGCACCTCCCTAGTTTTATATATTTTTAAATTAGAATCATTTTCTCAATCTCTCATACTTAATCTCACACACTGATAACATTGAATTCTTGGTAAGGAATGAAAATGAAAAAGTTTTTTTTTCAAATGAGATTGAAGAAACTGTCATGCTGTTCAAAATGGGTCTACATTTGAAAAGCCTACTGATATTAAAATAAACAACTCTGTAATGGATGGAAAATGGATGGAAAACTGTAAAATTTTTAAAAATTCAAGTGTATAACTATTCATGTCTTGATACAAATTATCTATAGTCTAGTACTTTTAAGTCTTCCAATCACAATTAGGTATAATTTTCATAAATTCATAAATCCACAGTTACAGAAATTGAATCTTACTTGATGACAAATATTTGTGACTACGATCAACCAATGATCGTACAGTGTGCGATATTTATTGTGATACATTTCACTTGATATAAAGGGCCTCAGACTATTTTTATAATTATCAACAGTAGTTGGAATTGTCATTTATATCAGACAATTTAAACTGTCAATTATCTGATCTAACTGACAATTATCCATTGCCTACACTTGCTCAAAAACTATGAAAAAATTCCCTCAACAAAAAACAACCTCCGAACTACCGCCCACACTTAAAACGAATTTCAATAATATGTATGCTGCCCCTGCAGCACATCTCTCAACTCATCATACTATATATGAAATTATATTGGGAATCTGATCAAAGCTTCACGTCCAGTCAACAAACTGAACGAAAAATTAATTATGTCTGACATTTTTAGCTATTTCATTTTGAATTTCTTTCGCTTCGCAACATTTCGTTCTTAATCGGCTTCTACATTGCAACACGATAACCTATCACAGATAGCCATTTCAATTACCATTCTACGCAGATTCACACTATGAGATTTTGGACGCGTCGAGGGGCTCACCGAAAGCAACAAAAACTGCCAGACTTTCTCAAATATACATCAGTAAACTCGACTTTCTTCACCGTAAATTAGACAAGGGAAAAATTTTCTTTATACATTTCGTGATGTCCTGATGGCATATGTCCGTCGAAAGGCAGTAGGGCTGTGGCCGCCGGCCTTTGCCCAGCGTCAGTACTGCAAGTCCACCATTTCCTGATCGAAATCCGAAACTAGTTTTTTGATATGCGACAGCTTAGCGTGCAGGTAATAGAACCTGCGTTTTGCTTTTTGATGTTCAAAGTCCTTTTTCTTCTCCCGGTATTCTTTCACTATCTGTTTTTTTATGGCCTGCAAAAAATTGAGTACTGGTTGATGAAAACAGTAAAGAAGATATTCAAATTGTCGGCCAGAATTGCCATGAACTGCTAAAATATCCTAGTTCAACCCGGAACCAATTAATAGACAATTTGAAATATATTTTTCAGGGTCATTATCAACAAATAATGAATAATTAATTCAGTCGCTCTATAAAAATATATTACATAAACCATTTTCAACTCTGATATCTACCACAATTTAAATATTCCATTTTGCGAAACATTACACAGAGCCATTTTTAATTTGAGATTGAAATTTACATTCCTTTTAATGTCATGTGTTTTTGTAGCTTCATATCTCAATAAATATTTATTCTGCTGTGTCGTGATATATACTTGTGAATATAGAGCAACATTAATAGACGTTGAAAGCAAAATAGAACATCACTGAAAGAAAAACCATATTTTTGCAATACTATGTGACCTTCAAAGGCTTTAACTATGCCTCTCATTCACTGAGAAACTCCAATACTACAATATTTGAGAATTGGCTTGGAACTTCTTTGATTATATTCACAGTAGAAGTGAGTGTTTTTATTGACCATAAAATGTCTAGTTGAAAAAAAAGTAAAACATAATAAATACCACAGGACTATGTTTTGAGGCCATTAATGTTTATTCTATACTGAAGATGAAAAGGAAAAATCCTTTAAGTCGACCTAATAAAACGTTTACAAACATTGAATAACTGAAATTATTAGACGAAGTTACTGAAGATGAAGAAAAATATACGGATCTTTTAAATAAACAAAAAATCCGAGTATTTGGAAGGTCAACATTGAAAACTAAAAGAATAGCAATCTAATGCAACAAAAAATCCAATGAGGTGAAATAAATTGGAATGAAAGGAACGGAAAAATAAATAAAATATAATAATTAAATATAGTACAATAAAGGTATAATATCCTGTCATCTTCAACGAAAGATTCTTAATTGGCAGTAAATAGTGTAGAAATGTTTACTCACTTTATATTTAGAACTCTTCTCATTTTCTTTTTTCAGGAGTTCTCCCAAATGACAAAATATGTCAGAAACCTTTTCCAGCCCTGCGTGCAAAACTCGATATTCATTGTAGTCTGCAATGTAATCGTTTTTATACTTCCTTCGCTGTTCAAGGTCTCTAATGGTAACATATTGCCTAGAATTGAATAAAACCTGGGTTATCAATCGCTATCACATTAAAAAAATATTGTATGAAATCATAAAATAGTGTAAAGTAATAACAACTGAATTCTACATTGGGTGTCACAAACAAAATATGTTTCATAAAGTACTGTTTGCATAATATTGAACAAGTTCAGCTTGTATTCAAATTGTTGGATGTATCAACATGTATATATGTTAAAATTAGTTTCAGACATTCTTTCAATTGTGTGTTGCAAGAAACATGTATGTATGTTGGAATTGGTTTTCAGAATTTCAAATTCAGCTGTATTTTTAATTGTTTTTGTACTCCAATACTGTTTTCATATTTGAAGATTTTGTACTGTAGCTTAACGCCTGCCAGAAAACAACTACTTTCCCGGCTAGTACCTCTGTAAGGAAGCTTGCACGAACGTCTATCGAATAAATATCAATGTCCATCATGGTATTAGCAGAGGAAGTAGTTTTCTACCAGATCTGAGCATTGAGAGAGGTGAATGTTTCGAATTCATTTGAAATATCATTTTCTCAGTACATTGAATTTCTTCTTCACTCAATCTTCAGACTCATTTTGATTTCACTGAAGTAATTGATGAAATTATTTTTCAATATCTTGAAAAAATTTCAATCCAAGTAACCAACAATCCAACAGACTTCCATGAAAAGTTCAATAAGTAAAACAAACCCAAGTTCTTTTTCTTATCACTTTCTTAGAAACAATATCATGTCAATGTAAGAATATGAATTCTAAAATCGTACAGGAAATCATTTCAGCATCGTGATCTCACATTTTCATTCAGTTTTCACCTTTTATATTCCAAAAATGTATTGCTATTCGATAAATAATCAATTTTTACTTATTAGGTTGTTTCGAAAGTTTTGTCCGTTTCAATGTCATGTGTTTTTTATAGCTCAATAAATACTTATTCCACGGGGGGTCGTCGTATATAATGATTGATGCTGTTCAATAGTAATAATGATTGTAATTTATTGAACAAAATTACAATTTTACTCAACTGGCTATCGACTGAAGTCCTTCTGCCCATGTAACAAAATTGCTTTGAAATAACATAGCTTATTTTACAACATTTTTCTAACAGTGTTGGGTGTCGATGTACTCTTGCATGGGGGTTTCTTGTCACAGCATACATGTCACACATGATTTCTATATTGTCGTCTTTTTAAGCAAACTTCTGAGTAAGTGACGGTAGTCTTTCCTTGATAGGGATAATACCAGTGAGCTGGTACAGCAGAGGGTTTGGAGGGTTGTGTTTGGGGTTATTGGGATGCCTTAATCTTGTTATTTTCCTTATAGCCGTTGTTTCCGATACTTTTCAAGGCACTTTGTTTGATATTGAGAAACAGTGTGTGCGAGTATTCAATAAGTGGACGACAGATTAGACGGTGTGTGGGATAGCGGAAGAACTGATGGTTTAAAACGTATTGGAAAGATCAAAAAGTTCGAAAAACGGGAAACTAACATAAAAAGCATGTCCGCGAGTGTAAACTAAGGGGTGTGTATCTAAGGGTATTTATTCATTCAAGAAAAGAAAAATGAAAATTTCTGTTTTTTACCATTTTTATTTGTAACTAACGTTACTGCAGTTTTGTCCTATACGGACATTTTCAAACTCATACAGTAAACTATGTTTAAGTTTGAAAATGTCCGTATAGGATTAAACTGCAGTAACGTTGGTCACAAACAAAAGTTGTAAAAACATATAGTTTCATTTCTCTTTTCTCCATTATGATTTCCTACCACATAGAACGGCTACATCCATCAATTTATTGGTGTTCATTCACGTCGCAACAGCAAATTTAATTTACCTTTTGGGAACACCTGTCCACTGGTGATCACAGATAAAAAAATATCGAAAAAACACAGTTTACACTGGAAAACAACAATAATAAAATTGAATAATCAGGAGAATAAAATTTCAACAAGAATACTGAAAAAGAAAGGTCTCTGGTCCACTGGTGAACATCGGCGCTAAACGTGTTAGAGACAGCTAACCGCTGATCATAAAAATGACTTTCGCTTTCAGAATTAAAAAAAAACACTTACTTCTCGTAATCAGGAAACTCTTCGTTCTCCTTCTCGGTGCTGAGAGGCGGATCCAAATCCGCAGGTGGTATACTATCAGTTTGACTATCTGGGCTAACCCTAACTATCCTATTCTCAGTAGAAGAAGTGACTTTATTATATATTACATTCCTCTCCTTCTCTACTTCCTTCTCGACAGCTTGTCGCCTCACTCTGTTGGTGGCTATTTGATTCATATATCCGTTCTGCCGCTCAGTAGACCTCTCTCTCTGCTGCTCCTGGCTCGACTTGTTGACGACTGGAGCGCCGGGAGAAATACTACGTCTATCGACAATTGTCTTTTCTTGGCTTAGTTCAGAACTATGACTATCACATGTAGATTTTTTGCCGGCGTCGTCGTCGTCATCATCGTCGTCGTCGTCATCACTAGAATTGGGCTTGTCGTTGAGCATTCCGTTCGAGTAGCTATTCACAGGGGCATACACTGAAAGAAGGAAACTTCATCATCCAAAGAACATTCTTTATTCAAAAGTATTGAATTATATAATTCGGTGTTTGTGTGTGTATTAAACGTGAATCAAGATGGCCGCGAGTGGCAACTATAGTTCTGATAAACGTGTTCTACCACATGCCTTCAATCAGTATTACTGATACAAAAACGTCCAATACGATGCATATGCAAATCCAAGCCTAGGGACTCTTGTCAGCCTCTTTTCGCATCTAACAGAATCCTAACTCTGATCTCTTTATTTATACATGAGACAATCTGCCTTCTCTTCAAAAATAGGAACTTGTTTAACAACTTGGATGAGCCAATGTATCAAACTCACTGAAATGTATTGAATCTTACCTAACAGATAGCCAACAAATAGTAACTATTAAGAAACATGGTCGAACATACAAATCTGAGAATGCAGCAGTGAAAGTAGGAATACCCCCAGGAAGCATTGCGGGCCCTTTGTTATTTATTCAAACACACATAATTCAATTACAGTCTTTGCTGATGACACTAATTCATTAATAGGCCGTGAAACATACCCTGAAGTAGTAAAAACAAGTATGGAAACGTTTAATTATACAAAAGAATGGTTCACTAGGAATAGGTTAATTTTGAATGAATCTAAAACTAATATACTTTTTACAACTAATCAATTACAGATAGAACGACCTCAAACTTTGAATATTGAAAACAACTATAAAATATTCAGAAGACACCAAATTTCTAGGAGTTCATATTGATGAGTTCTTGAAATGCAACAAACAGATTGATTATACAGCTAACAAATTGGACAAAATTTCGTATGGACTAAGGGTGGTTCACAAATATCTTAACAAAGAATAGGTAAAAATAATTTTGAGTCTGTAGCTAGATATGGAATCATATTTTGGGGAAGCAATAGTGAATCATATTTTGAGGAAGCAATAGTAATATAAATAAAATATTTATAATTCAGAAAAGAGCAATCAGAATGATGAGTAATTTGAAGTATAATCAATCGTGTAGAAATGTCTTCAAGAATAACGGGATAATGACGATATATGCTCTTTATATTTACAAATGCTTAATGTTTGTATTAAAAAATAGGCATCTGTTCGTTAACAATATTAATCAACATTCCTATGGAACAAGAAGAAATGATTTCGTGCTCCCTATACATAGGTTAACCATAACAGAAAAAACTCTTCATTACATGTCAATGAAGCAATACAATAAATTTCCTAATCGAATCAAAGATTTGAGGAGCATAAAAAATCTAAGAATGAAATAAAAAAATACTTAATAGATTTAGAACCATATAGTGTTAGTGACTTTTTAGACCAAATCGAATTATAGAAATGTATATATTTATGAGTATATGTAGTCTTTTTTTTTTTTTTGACATTATTTCATTCTATGTTGTCTGTGTACAAGCTGTAATAGTCGGCATATTTTTTAAATAAAGATTATTATTATTAAAGATTCAGCTTCAAATTACCGCTGCTTTCTTCAACCCTAGTTAAAGATTCCATTATTTACAACGGTCTCAAAGAGTTGAAAGACTTGCTTTCTGTGAGACCTTATTATAGCTTAGCAGAATTCTACGACGATAATTTTAATTGAGTAGGACTAACTGTAATATCTACGGTATTTTATTGATTTGATTCAATTTAGTTTCAAGTTGATTTATTTAATTTTATTGACCATGTTCTTATATCCTGAACGTTTGTATTAGTAAGTGATTTTACTTTTGTGATACTTTTGTGATTTCATTTATATGTTATTTATATTTCGCACAAGGCTTTGTCAAAAAGAATTTATTCTTCAGACAATAAAGTATATTTTGAATTGAATTGAAAAATATAGTGTACTTATGGAATGTGATGCAGTTTACCATAATGCTTGTGCACTTAGAGCAAAAACTTGCTGTGAAGAGAAACTTAAATAAAAATATCTGATGACTGATGAAGTTTACTTGATTGAGAAAATATTACTCCGCAAAAAAAAGTTTTATAGACACAAATTCACTGTCCCCTCATCAACAAGCAGTTAAATGTCTGAAATCAGTGTATTCAGTGATGACGTTGAATCCACAAAGAAATGGGACAGATACAAAAAAAAATAAAGACTATGCTACCCAAACCAAAATAATGACTGGACAAGAAACTAAATATTGATATAGGGATAATTCCAAACATCTCTAATTTACAGGGTGTATTCAAGTAGTTAAATACGTAAGTATTCAAGTACGACTCAATCCACTGATGTCAAAGTCTCTTAAAGCCATAGTAGTTCAGCTTCCACAACAGTATTCCACAATTAACACAATCAAGTATTTGGAGAATCATAAAACACTGCCTCACCATCATTGATTTCAGTATAAACATCAAATTGTAGATTGAATATGGCATCATCAGTATTTTTGTATATTACGGGCTGTTGCAAATGATGAAACCTGTATGGGTGCCTATATTAGGCACCCTTAGAATAATAAATGGCCTTAGTTGTAGAACAGATTTCAAGATTTACCCCTCTTTATATATTTTTCAATGATTATTATGGATGCATGATAGGCAACACATATTTGAAATGTATAGTGACATTCACCATTCACATTCACACAAAAAATGCACGATTAACGAAAGTCATTATTCTGTAAATTATTAGGCACCTTGATACTATAAGCTCCATTTACATCTGGAGAGGTTATTTTATAATAAATTCAAAGCCAAAATTAAACATATACTTATACAGGAAAGTTATTACTCAATCGATTTTTAATGCTGATCTGGGTCATTACTGAACAGAATTTGATTTTTTTTATTTTGACAATTTGACCATAATTTGTTTATAAAATAAATACAACAATAAAAATTAATTGGCGCTCCGGGGCGACTTCATTGATTCCAGTGGCGCATTTGCTTTTTCAGCTGCAGGAAAACCCGGAAAAACCTGCAGCACCACATCATCTGAAGATCTTGATCCAACAATGTCCTCTCTCTCATATTAAATTCAATGCGTCGCCAGAACACTTCGTGACACGACTATCGTCAAACTTAAACCAGTCCGTTTCTTCTTTGACCAAGGCGTAATAATGACCACGTTCAACACCAGAACCACAGTGAACAATGACTGCATGAATATTATAACAGTGGTCTGCTAGGTTGAAATGTTCATCTATTTCGAACCTTCCAAATAGTTTCTTGCTTATTTTTTATATTATTTTTAATGTCATAAATTATACTTAGTCCTTTAGGTATACAAAAGAAACAGTTTGGTTATTTCATCACAAATTTGTTTATATTCCGTACTTCTGTCTTGTTTGATTTATTTTAATTGAAATGTATGTTACTTCAAATATATTCTAGTATGTAACCACATTCTGGATGTGTGCAAAATCTCTACAATTAGAAGCTCAAATGAATATCTATCTATCTAAATATCTATCCATGATATACTCTCGTATTAACTTCAATATTATAGCATGGGGTTGGATCAAAGGTAAAGAGTCCGGCTCCATTGAATATAATTGGAAATATAATTTTAAAAAGGTAATAGATGGAAAAGTTGCAGAAGTGTATCTAGATAAGTCGTACCATTTTTAAACAAAACATTACTTTTCTTGTACACTCACCTCCTGCAGGAGATTCCCTACTCCTCGGATTCATGTTGCTCGCATCGCGTGAATCTGTGACGGGCCTTCGTTGACTGTTGTTTTCGAAGGGCGACTGGTACGTCTGGTCGACTTGTTTGTTAGTGTGGGCGATTCGCTGGCGTTTGTATGGAAAACCGTCCGGTCCATCGTGGAAACCCGGACGTTTGGAAGAAGTTATCAAAGGCGGTGAGCCGGGATGGGTGCTTGTAGGCGACTGGCCGCTACCTGAGCTGCCATCGCTACCTCCCGGCGGAGTTAACGTTTGGGGTTGTGGTTTACGCCTAAAAATAAATGAAATGACGTGAATGCCGGAAACAGTTCCAACTGGCTTCAAAACAGTGAAATTTCAAGATCTTGAATTTGTTATGTATATTTCTCTCGGCGGAAAGACCATGAAAAATAGTTCTCCTAATTGTGAAAATGCATAATGCATACAAAGAGAAAAAAACGCTACTCAACAGTTTTTTGTTGTTCTCCGCTTTGAAATAACCGATTTAAGTAAAATAAATTTACAGTTCTGGAAAATACTCTGTGGTTAAAAGAGTTCATTCAGATGACAACACAAAACATTAGTCATTCTATTCCTAGTAGAAAATAGTTATGATAATAGTTCGGATTGTATACATGCACATTAAACTTGAAATTTTTAAAATTTGAATGGTAATCTCATGTGAATAAGGGCGATGACATCTCCCCTCACGAAGACGCCATCTATGGGATCGACAAAGACTCAATCCCCGAATATCAAAGATAAATAATAATAATAATAATATTTTATTGGTTCTTCTGGATCATAACTCGATGATATAGAACAAGTCAGTGTAATATGATATAAATAAACTTATAAAAAAGAAAAAATGACTTGATTCTGATCTAGCCAGTCTGTGATTTGGTATTTCTAACAATGTTGAATTTCTTGTGCCGTAATTATTTTTGTTTAAGAAGGTAAAAGGTCGCTGATCCGATTTTACAAAAATTAACAGCTGGTACCTATAAATGCATGGGAGAGTTAATATTCTTAAAACTTTGAATAGATCTCTGCAGCTAGTACGTCTATTTACACTCTGAATGTTTCTGACAGCTCTATTCTGTAAAATAAATACCCTTTGTGCCTCACGTGATAGGCCCCAAGCTACTATGTAGCCAGAGTCAGAAATGCTTTGTTGTCATAAAAGTTTAGGTTTTGTTGACAAAGCAGGCTTAAGAACTAAAACAATCTGAAACATTAAAACACAGGTCAAGAATTAAAACAAGATATTAATATAGTTGCGAAGTCATCAGAAAGAAATTCCTCAGTACTATAAGAGACTTTACCTAGCGAAGTTTTTTTACTCTTTTTCGAAACTGTTAGCAGGTTAACTTTCTAATTGAAAGGGGGAGATGATTGAAATATTTTTTCCTATTATAATTTGTGCTGTTCTTTAATACAGTAGAGTCCAGCAAAGCATTTGTGGTTCAACCTAACACCACTGATGAAACTTATGGCGGGTCGAAACAACAGTGTTTGGTGTTGGTGCTGTTAACAAGGCATGGAATTTTAATCGTGACTTAATTGTTTGTTCTTGAATCACTATGCCTTATAAACAATAACAAAGGTACCTTTAATTCTCAGCCTCACCACAATACTAGACAGGCTTGCCAATTAGAAGTTCCTATCCCAACAAGTAGTCAAATCAAGAATTCAATTATATATAATGGACTAAAAATGTACAAGTAATAGTCTATACCTATACAAAGTCAATTCAAATGGCATAAAAACTAAATAGTTACCGAACGTCGGCAGTTTCTTTGTATGGCACGGGCGCACTGTATAATTTACGAGGTCTAATCATTATTTTTATGTGGGAGGTTTTACATGGTATTAAGTAGTAAATGTATCAGACCGGGTACAAAAGTCTTTTATTTAGCTGTTTGGATTGACTTTGTATAGACTATACCTAAAAGTTGAACAGAATGTCACATTACTATCTTTCAGAAGAAACTTGAAGGCCATTCTTGTCAAAAAGGCTTACTATACATTAGACGAATTTTTTGAGTATAATTTTGACACATAATCTGCATATATGTATTTTTTTCTCTTTGTAGTATTTTTCATACATGTCATTTACTTACTCAATTTTATTTTTACTCCAGTACAAACTTACATTTTATCAAACATATGTATGTAATATTTCTCAATATTATATAGTTATACATTACATTTTAGAAGAAAAATGTTTGTCGATAAGATGTATTTGCTTATGACATTGAAAGCATATCTATCTAAACATGTTGTGTTTGGATAATCAAAAGGTAATCTTATGAATGAAATGAATTATTAAGCTAAAAAATATGGCTATTGTAAGTAATTGAATGGATCTAACCTTATCTCTATGGCTGACCTTTCAGATTCCTTATAAAGATTTTTTTAATACACCCAGGTACTCTGAAGAAATTGAACAGCACAATACCAACAAGAGTGACTCAGCACAGTGAAACCTTGATTGACTACTCATTCACTAATGATGATACCAATGAATACTCCTTAGCTATAGTTGAAAATGCTATTAGTGACCACAGGTTTCAGATACTACAAATAATGAAAATCAAACCGCCACAAGTAAACTTTAATGATTATTGTATGATCAAAGATCTCAACAAAATGGAATTCAGAAATGAACTGCAAAGAATTGCTAGGCACAACTGGGAAGATCCGGATATTCTGTGTGATGCAATGATTAGAGCCTACCAAAACAATATTATAATAAGAAAACTGAAGAATAGATTCCGAAAGAACAGCGCCTCTTGGTACAACAGTCACATCCATAAACTTAAAGAAGATAGAGACTATCATTATCAAAGACATCGACTGTTCCCTAATAGTGCACACCTAAAAAGTATGTACCAGAATGCACAGAAAATATTGTCTGCAGCTATTAGTTACCGGAAGAGACAATATTATCAAGACAGGCTTGAACAGGTAAAAAACAATCCAAAAGAAACCTGGAAAGTATTGAACACCATTGTACACAACAAACCACAAACAAAGAAAACTGTGAAAATACCAAAAATAATCACGAATACTAATAGTATATTAGAAAAACCTCAGGATATTGCCAATGAATTAAACAACTTCTTTACCAACATTGGCCCAACTTTAGCAAGGACAATTCCAAAAACAGATTTTAAGCCTCCAAGAATAGCTACGACAGGGGCTGTGTTTGCTTTAGAACCAACAACCCCGGAAGAAATAATACGGATTATTCAAAAAATGAAATCTGGTAAAGCTGTAGGAGTTGACCGTATATCTGTAGAAATACTCAGGGACTTCGCAGATGAAATCACCATTATTGTAAGCCTTCTAGTGAATCTCACTTTCACAACTGGCTCTGTACCTCAAGCACTAAAAAGAGCAAGAGTCATCCCTATCTACAAAGGAGATGATCCCACAGCTAGCAACAACTATAGACCTATTTTTTTTTAATTTGAGAAGCTTATAATAATTACCTCTCATATTTATTTTCTTCTAATTGATTGACATATGTATCTTTTTTTTTATGGCCTACATAGCTTACTTAAGCTCAAGGCCTTAACCATAATATGTACTATGCAGAATTTTGTACTCATATTTATTTGTAGTTACGCAATTTATGGAATAAATAAATAAATAAATAAATAAATAAATACTCAAAACGGAGCTCGAACATTTGGAAAGTTTGTTAATGGGAGGTTCATCCTTTAACCCAAATATGACTATGATAAAGAAGACTGCAATCCTTGAGTACTCTTGAAGAGAATTTTTTCAGATCTGATCCAACTTGAAAAAAGAACGCTAAAAAACAGTTCAACAAATTTGCTTCAGCGGACTCTGGATCTCTAACGTGGAATGTTCTTCTATATGACACATCAACTTTTAAAATGTCATTCTAGCCAACGTACTGTATAAGTTGATTATTGTCGGAACATGTCAGACCTACAATATCTGATCTGAATAGTTAATTACAAGGCATTTGCTAACTGTCATGAAAGTTATGTCCCTCCTTGATCCATACAGGTAGTTTTATGAATGGTGTTATACAAAGTGTTCTTGCATTTGTAAATAAACAAAATAAAATTGTGTAAATTTGGATGAATTACCATTTGGAAGAAATGTTTAAAACAATAGTGCAATAATTTTTTTTCGAGATTAATTGCCCTAACACCAAACTGATATTTTTGCACTTGACGCGCGTTTCGCCAACAAAGTTAGCATCCTCAGGAGAAAAAAATTGATACCTAGTCTAGTCTGGTTAATCCTTATATACTAAAATTTGTTACCTGAGGTTGTATACCTGCCGTTTTTAGATGTATTAGTCATAAGGAACGAACAGAACGAAATTTAATTTGACATTTACAGGAAAGACACGGGCACTTTCAGATACATTCCTAATGACTCGAATCATTGTCCACAACACAAAATGGCGGCACTGCAATTTCTGGTACACAGGTTAATAACTTTTCCTTTAAAGAAAGATAAGTACGACAAAAAATAAGAAATCCTCTGGAGCAGATGATATTCCCATCTACATTTGGAAAAGAATTCTTCCAACCATAATAAAACCATTAACATATCTGATTAATCTGTCATTTGTAAAAGGTGTCTTTCCGCATGAAATGAAAATCGGAAAAGTAACTCCCATTTTCAAGAAAAACAACCCGAACTTAATGGAAAATTATCGTCCAGTAACAGTACCATATGGACTATCAAAGATATTCGAATATGCATTTTTGGATCGACTTACTTCATTTTTGAATCTACACAAAATATTAACAAACACGCAGCATGGTTTTCGTGCAGAAAACTCAACTAATACTGCCATTTTTTCATTATATAATGAGGTAATTAGATACATTGAGGCAGGTGAATGCCCGGCAGCGATATTCTGTGATTTGAGTCGGGCATTCGACTGCGTCAATCATCAAAAACTTTTACTGAAATTGGAAAGATATGGACTAAGAGGTGCATCTCTCAACTGGATATCCTTATTCCTTGAAGGTAGGAGACAATATATATCTTTCCAGTGTACGGTCAAAAATGAAATCCAGAGAATAAATTCTGAGCCTTTCAGTGTAGATATGGAAGTACCTCAAGGGTCCATTCTGGCCCCAATCCTTTTTATTCTATATGTAAACAATATAGGCTCTGTTGTTTCTGAAGTTCATTATACAGCTTATGCCGACGACATTTCTATGATCATCTGGGCATCAGATGATGAAATATTGAAAGACAAATGTGCTTCTGCAGTTGAACATATATCAGAATTTTTCAATTACTTATCATGATTTATTTTTTAATTCGGATAAAACAAATATTATTCGTTTTCATAATAGACAAAATAGGATGGAAGACTTCAGTTTCAGTGCTGATAATGTGACATACTCAAAATCGAATGAAAGTGTTAAATTCCGGGGTATTCTTCTTGATGAAAACTTGAACTGAAATGCTCATTGCCAGCATCTAATTTCTAAGCTTAATTCAATGAAATTTCTATTTATGAATCTGCAGACAGTTTTAACTACCACTCAACTAATGAGCATTTATTATGCTCAAGTTGATTCAAGATTTAGGTATGGTGTCTGGTTCTGGGGTGGGTCATCTATGACTCATAACGTATTCATATACTTGATATACTTGAATGGTTTTCTTTTAGCAAAACAATGGAAAATAGAACTCGAAATGTAAATACCTAGTGTGTACGTTTGAATTTAAAACAAAACAAATATATTAATACTATCGAAGGAGCTGCTAATTACTATATATAAGATTATACTTTGTGAATGTAGATTAGGATTACCTATTTCAAATAAAGATTATTATTTACATTTCAAAATGAATAAAAATGTTCATCACTATGACACTAGAACAAAAAATATATTTCATGTGCCATATGCAAGACTAAGAATAACTTCATTTGCACCAGAATACATTGGAATAAAAATATTCGACAAACTGCCCGATCATTTAAGGGAAGAACATAATTATGTGATGTTTGAGAGAAATTTAAAGAGTTTTCTAATTGAACAATGTTTTTATTCATTGAATGAATTTTTTAGATCAGATAAGTAGGGTATTATTTTAGTTTTAAGGTGTTGTTTCAACTTATATGTTTCTTATACTCTGTTTTTATCTTTATTTTTTTTATTGACTATTCCTATACAATGTATATTGTCTACACGGAAATAAAGTATTATTATTATTATTAATGAAAAGAGAGTGATTCGGTATGTAGCTGAAGCAAACGGTTTTAACCCAGATATAGTTGACAAGATAATTAGAAAATGCAAGTTTAGGGAAGCACTTCGTAAATCTTCGACTTTTCAAAAAGAGGAGAGTAATAAGTAATCCCATATGAACCCCAATACACGAGAGGGCTTCAACAGATATTCGATAAAGTAAATATGAAAGTTGCATATAAAACTTCTTTTAACAGCTTCTTGGTATTCCAAAAGATAGACTAGAAAACACAGAAAGGTCGGGGATTAAGGAAATCAGTTGTCAAGATTGCATCAGCAAATACATCGGCCAGAGCCGACGAGCGATTAAAACCCGCTTCAAGGAGCATTGTGCACACATGAAATACGGAAGGATAGAGAAATCCAGTGTCGTCCAACATGCTCTAGACAAGGACCACTGAATTGGTGAAAACAATCTGAAACTGATTAAGCATGTGCATGACACCAGGCTACTCGATGCATGTGAGAGTCTAGAAATAGCAAAATGTAAGAACAGCATGAATGGCGATAAGGGACCCATCTCGTTTTGCCCGCTTTGTAATCTTCTGTTAGGAAGATAATAATCACTAAGAACTTGCAGGTAGTTAATTACCGAGAAATTCCATATTGGACTTCATGTATAAAACCTCAGGTAACAAATTATAGTATATAAGGATTAACCAGACTAGACTAGGTATCAATTTTCTTCTCCTGAGGATGCTAACTTTGTTGGCGAAACGCGCGTCGAGTGCAAAAATATCAGTTTGGTGTTAGGGCAATTGATCTCGAAAAAAGTTATTCAACTTTCACAAAGGTTCCAATCTCATCGTTAATAGTGCACTAAATAAACTTTGAACGATTTTTTATGGCCCTCATATATATATATATATGGTTGAGGTACTTTGTAAAGATCTCTCAAGTTGAAGAGAGTAACTTTAGATTTAACTTGCACTTACGTCGGCGGTCGCCTGGGAATTTCAGGAATAGAGGGCTTCCTGTTGAGTTGTGGTCGTGAGCTACTGACATGGTTACTGCCTAGGCCGTTGGATAATCCGTTAGTGGAAGAATGGACAATTGGAGGGATAGGCTTGGAGGGTGCGTTCGAATGATAAGACGGCTGCTTCAGAAGGCTTTCACGCATCGAGGGCATCTCTTTGCGGGCTGGATGGACCGGCGCTCTGTTGGTGTGTTTCACTTTCACTTTCCTTCCAATGTCTGTTTGGTTGGGCTTGATTTCTCTTGTGCTGAAAGCAATATTACTTCAATAGCGCAAAAAATTATGCAAAATAGTAAAATTAAATAAATATATTTGGGGCAACGAATCTTCACGCATGCTCATCAATACCTGATACGATAAAACACATACTTTTATATAGCATCCTTTTCTTCTACACGTGAAAGAAAACGAAACAGGAAACATTTATGTTTAATCAAGGAAGGTTGATAGCTTGCATTAGATACATCAAACAAAGAGAGTCGAAGCCCAAATTCGGCAATTGATGACGTTTCACGATCATTTGACAGTTTAATGCTATTTATTGTGAAGTTTCCATGAAACAGGCGAGCTCCTTCCTGTTGCGTTCGGATTTTATCTCCGTAACCAATCATTTGTAAAACTGTTATTTTATGCACTTCCGTTAATATAACCATTTGTCAGACTTGAAGTTAACGAACTTTAAACTTAAATTAGATTTCCAAAAAGCGTTCGACAAAGTAAATCACGATGTATTGTTAAATAAAGTTTCTCTGTGTGGAGCTACTAAAGGAACTATGAACTTTTTAGCATCATATTTAAATGAGAGAACGTTCAGAGTGAAATTTGGTACCAACTATTCAGATGAGTACCAGTCAAAATTAGGAGTGCCCCAAGGATCAACTCTGGTGCCTCTATTGTTTCTCATTTCTATTAATGATCTATCAGCGAAAATTAAATATTCAAATTGTTTACTCTTTGCAGATGACCTTAAATTTTATAGAAAAATAGATTGTGTTCCAGATTTTAGTAAACTGCAAAAGGATATTGAAAATGTTTACTAATGGAGTGTGCAAAATAAGTTACCATTTAATACGTCAAAATGTATTGTAATGACTTGCACAAGAAAGAGATAAAATAGAGTATGCATATGAAATGGAAAATATCACGTTGGTACGAGTAAGTAATGTTAAAGATTTGGGGGTACGATATGACTCAACCCTGTCATTCAAAAATCACATTGAAATAGTAGTCCCTCAGGGTTTACGGAGTTTAAGTTTTGTTTTGAGGCAAAGTAAACATTTTAGAAATTACCAAACAGTCATTAGGATATATAACGCTCTGGTGAGAACCAAACTCGAATATTGTGCAGCCGATTGGCATCGGTATCATTTTATATATAAAAATAACTTGGAAAAAATTCAAAATAGATTACTACGGCATTTAGAGTCTACCCAGATTATAATTCTGTGAGAACTAATGATCTCAGGAAAGAATTTGAAATCTCGAGTTTAGAGAATAGAAGGTTACACATAATAATCGCAATATGTTACAAAATTTATAATAATTATGTTAACTGTCCCAAGTTACATAGTTTGATGAACCGAAGAAACCCTATCAAAATTATCAGATCAACCCCTTTTTTCAAAATACCATTAGTCACCACGACTCAAGGTAACCCAATCGTAACGATGCTGAAAGTCACAAATAATACACTATTAATGTCCGAACTCAGCTTTGTCAAACCCCCTAGAGAATATTTTACTGGTCACAAGCCTATACTTCCTATTTAAAAAATTACGGGTTGTACCTGACATTTGACGGGGGTTAAATAACGTATTCACACAACAAGTAGTAAAGTCAGAGAAATTTTATGAATTCAAAATCGTAAAGGGTTATTTTCTTGTGAATTACATAAATAAAAGCCGTTTTTCAATTATTGGTTGGATTGTTCGAAACAATATTCACGTCGTATCAAGTTTCATTACTTCGTCAGAGACCAAAACAACAAGAGAATATAGGAAAATACTTATTTCGGATACACAAGTTGACGTCGTATACCCTGTCCCTGTATTGTAACTTCATTCTTTGACGACGATGTATTTTTTGTAGTTTTTTACCAACATGCTGAATCACCACTGTATTGAAGCCGAGTGATCCGACCGGCTTCGCGTTGAATGCAGTTTAGATAGATATATTTAGATAGATAGATAGATATAGATAGATAGATATATTTAGAGTTTAGAGTTGTAATAACATAATTTCACGATAAAAATATCAACAAATTTAGGTATTTTCAGTTGTCACTATAAAAGTCTCATCATTACTGCAATTACTACAGAATTTCTTATATTTACAATTGATTTCGCCATAGAATAATTAATTAAGCCGAGTAGATTCCGATCCGGAGGATATCTTGATAAAAAGTAGCGTGTAGTTAATTCTGGATAATATAGCTTTCCAATAGTATTTTTCTTACTTCTAGCATTTTTATACCCGTCGAAACGTTCGATTCGAATAACTCAAAGAGAAATTCACATCTACATAATCATTGATTATGTGATTATGAAACTATTTAGTTGGAAAAGGATTGATATCGTGATATGAATGTCGTCATCTTTTTAACAGTGTTTTGATCGAATAATTTAAACAAAAAGCGACTCGACTCGAATAGCCTTGAGGAATTTTTACTATAAACATATAGAACATTATTTAATATATCATCAAGAGTTTTCGCAGCGCACGCAGGAAGTAGTTTTTGAGTTCATCCATTACTTACAAGTAAAAAATCAAATCTTTACTTTTTATAATATTAGTTAAAAAAATGTTATCATTTTTGTTTCCTATTACGGCATCTCTTCAAGAGAGCATGACTGGTTATGAAGCAAAGAAAACAGTAGTCAATTTTCAGTAGAGAACAAGTCAATAAGTCTTTTACGAAAGCAGACAACGACACCTAATTAATGACGGAATTAATCTGAATAATTCTAGTTCGAATTGCACTGTCAACTAAGTGAAAGGCTTTGAGAGTCTTGTTTATCATTGATATTTGTGGTCGGATCGAAGTTCTCTGTAGGTCCCACAGATGGCGTTTACATAAGGAAGGATGTCGTCGCCTGTTCTCCAACAATATAACAATAATAACCAATTTTTGAATACATTCGATACTATTTTAAAGATGTTATCCAAGTTTATGTATAATTAATATGGGTGTGGGTTTTTACAGAGATCTGTAAATAGTCCAGATATTTTTTCTAAATACTTCTAACCTTCCACAACTCGCGTTTACTCTCGCAGACCCGCCCAATAGTAGTTCTTGGATATTTCAGTGGTAGAGTACTCTTTTCACCTTTTGGAAACCAAATAGTGGTACACTTTTCGAGTTATTAAACGTTTGGATCTGATTTGTTTGATTTGTACTTTTGAATTGTAATTTCCATTGATTTCAAAGGTAATATTTTGTATTAGTTAACAGAAAGAACAATATATATTTCAATAAAGTTTAGATATATTATGAGAAAGAATAAGAACATCTTCGGCGTCTTTTCGATGAAGTTGAAGGTGCCGATGCCCCCAGTGACGACGGATCAAATTTCGAGGAGGAATTTCTGGAGGAATAAGCTATAGCAATGATATTAGTGATAGAGAACAAGATGGAGATATGTCTGATGATGAAACTATCGAGCAATCACAACAGTATGGTGAAACACAATTCGGAAAAACAGATGAAAAGTAAAAGTCCTGAAGGCGCAAATTCAGTAGGTGAAACGAGCATCGAGAAGAGGTTTGAAGTTCTTATGATTGAGAAAAGTACATGTTTTGGAAGAAACAGATATTGAACAACTTTTTGTCTACATACGATGTAGGAAAAAAAACACCGACATCGGCCAATGATGATTTTTTTTTCATTCGACAAATTTAGCTTGAAGCAATAGCTAAATGCATCCAACAGTTGAAATACCTGGTTTCTATAAGAATGCTGTTGAAAGAACTTGCGTCTATGTTTACCAAAGAAGCATAGAATCCAATTAAAAAATATGACAAGCAGGTTTCAAAATAGGAGGTAGATGTTAGCAAACATAAATACAATAGTTGAGATATTACGAAAATGTACCAAATTAATATGTTAAAACTTTGTCATTTTATAGACGACGATGAAATTAATAAAGATTCCTGTAGCTGAGAAATGAATGTATGGGCAGCATTTGAAGGCCTTCCAAGTTGGTTTCCAGAATTTGATGAGAAATAAGATACATTTTGAAGAAAATGCATGGTATTCCGAACATATTCTGGGAAACAAGTTGTGGTATTTATTAGAAATCGTGTTACGAATCACACGTTAAAAGGTAAGACCTCGTTAATACTTAGCTCGCACAAGGGTAGACTTCTGAGGGTTGTCGTTCGTAGGGGTGCGACAGCTGATTAACGAAAAACCGATTTTAAACAGAAACAGAACATATCTATACTTCTACCAAAGAATAAAGAACGAAATGCATTCATATTTGAAGTTATTGGTGTAGATTTCTATGAAATTAAAATAAATATGGTTCTTTTTGTAATAAAATTCATTTTCCATTCATTTTCCCTATAAAAATTTCGAAAAAATCATTCAGTTTTCAAGATGATATGGGTTTTGTCTCTTCTAGTTATCACACAAAGACGACTGTGGATACTAACAATCGAAACGTCGTGAAGTAACATTGTTTGAAATCTTTTCTTATTTTTTGTTCACCATTTATCTTGATTACTTCATTTTATTGTACCCTTATACAACATTTTTATTGTTTATACAGGGCTATTCAAATTCGTTTCTGTACATGGGGATCTCGTAAACGATAAGAGATAGAGTGTCGGTTAAATTGTGGCAAAGTTGCGTATTTCAGAGACCCATTCAATGATGTGAAAAAATCGAATATAGCTCTTTTGGTTCTGGAGATATACAGGAAAAACCAGAAAATCCCAAATTATTTTTTGCCTATATCTTCTTTATTCGCAGACATATTGAAAATCTGTTCACATTTTGCTATTGGCACTTGATGTGGGCTATCAGAATATGTCCATGAATCTTTTATACAGCGTGTCATCTGACTTGGGCCACCCCCATCTTTGAATTTTTAAATTAATTTTCATTTCAGGTCATTATTTGTTTTCTTCACAAAGTAGCGTCCTCACAATTTTTGAAGTTCATTTCTGGTAATTTTTTTTGACATTACCTCTGATTCACCTAATTGAATCGATTATTTCGGTTCGATTTTTTTCAGTATTTTCAAG